GACCCTATCTCCTACTTTAAGACGCTTACTACTGTCGACATTATTTCGTCTGTCATACTCCATTTTCATTTTTCCTCGTATCCGTTCATTATATTCTTTAACTCTATGATGGACTTTAGCCATCGCCTGCAATAGCTGTGCCTTATAATGATCCCTACTTTTATCCATCGTATACCACGACACTGCACCGTTAGGAATTACTCCCGATGGATAACCTGGATCCACGCCGTGTAAAATAAAGTATGGGCTCTCACCGGTTGCCTGATGCGGTGTTATATTGTATGCGAACATGCAAAACGGTAATCTTACGTCCCACTCCACAGGAACCACCGTACTACGTCGCAACATTGCTAGTATCGTTCCATTTAATTGTTCCGTAATGCCATTCTCTCTCGGGTTATAGCCCTTCGTTGTTATCTGTTCGATTTTCGTGATCTTTGTCAACTCCTCCATTACCCGGTTCTCGAACTCTGCCCCTTGCCAGACATGATCACCTTTGGCCAGCGGCATCCTTCCGCGATCCATCGCACAAAGATTGTTCTCGCTATCGTTTCTGCTGATTTGTTGGGCACCGGATATGCCGCAGCCAATTTGGAAAAGTGGTCAATGACCGTAATCACATAGCGGTTGCCACTTGTCGTGTTTAACAACTCTAGCAAGTCAATACCCACTATCTCATATAGCTTCGTGGTAGCGATCGGCTTTAGTGGAGGTACTATCTTTGGTCTTGCGTTATGCGCGAAGCAGCGCTGGCACTCCCTTGTCCACTTGTTGATATCTCTTCACCAACTTCAACTACTGCAAACTCTTCAGCTTGGTTGCTCACCTGCGGTGCCTGAGTCTTCAACTGCAGTGTGGGACTCTTGCCTGCTGGGCCCGCTAAATTCTCTGCCATATTTCTGGAACACACTGTATCAGTATCCATATCTTTGACTATACCGACGATAAACGGCGAACGGCGGCAAGAAAAACAATACGAGCAACGAACAGTAACACGATAAACGACGAACAGTGGCGCTGAATACGAGCTCTCACTTCCTTCAGCTTCACACTCACTGCGCGTTTTCGTCAGTCACTCTTTCTTTCCACTTCAATCAATGCCCACAACCTTTCCTAGGATCGCCCCTTCCTTATTGGCGAACCTATCCTTGACTTCTGTATCCTGTATTCTGATCCGCGGCCTCTCTCACTCTTCGGCCTCAACAGTTCGGTGTATGTCTCACGATCGATATCTCACTCTAGCGGTTCGGTCCCCATGTACTGAACGTCGGGATCGGTAGTGAGGTATCGAAACGAGAAACGTGTGGCAGAAGTACACCGAACTGTATTAATTCGTTTATTACAACGAAACGAATCAATAACAAATAAACGAAACTCGATAAAAACAAAAACAATCTGCAACACCGAAAACAAACAAAAAAATGAATCACTGCGAAGAAGAGGGGGAACGGCAGAGGAGGGACGTGGGCGGGGGGATGGTCACTCAAAAAAACTAAGAACACAACTCTATCGCCTGCTCCCCTTTTATGTTGGCTGTTTCCCGCCCAACGCCCTCCTCTTCCTCGTGCAGATCACTGACCTGCTCACTGACAAAATGTCTAAATTCCACTTTTTGGACCGAGTTTCAACACGGGGTGGAATACTGTATGACAAGTCCAGCTTTTTCCGCAATAGCTGAAGAAACGACTCTGATTCATGCATAATGCTGTTTTCTTTCTTCCACAAATTTATGTCTGAGTCTTAATCTTTTGAGATAGACGAAGTGTCTAGATTGTAGCATAGTGTAGTTCGCGTGCATTCGCTTAAATTTGTTTTTGAGGAAGTAGACCCGTCGTGGGTATAATTTGGTTTTTCCCTGCATTCCTTAAGCTGTACGTACTTGTCAATCAACTGATGACATACATCAAGAAATTTGGAGTATAGCAAATCAACACTGGAGCAAGAACTGCTCAGAGTGAGTTAATCAATTCTAGCGAGTGCAGAATTGATAAAATCCTCATCCTTTTTTGAAAAGCATCTGTATGATTTTGGTGAATTAGTAAGGGTCGGGAATGCGCCAGATATGTTAAAGTCGAAGCATTTAATCAGAGGTGCTGAATGGAGAGAGCACTTGAAGGTTCTCCAATATACTAGATTCTGTTGTCAGGATTATATCAAGGATATTATGTTCATGAGTTGGAGCCGTGACTAATTGTTCGTGATTTAGTGTCTTGGTGAAGGAGAGAAACGCTTGCGATGCAGGAGAAGGGGCATTTCCCCTGAAAGTTTGGTTAACCCAATCGATCAATGGAAAATTGAAATCCCTCAGAAGAACAACCTGACCGTCCCATCGGTGAGAAGTTCATGCAGGAACTTCGTGAATTCATAGAGGGCCGCTGCGGTGCAGAAGTGGCCCTGGTAAACTAGGATCCAAAAAATTTCACGTCGGGTACTTATTTCGACGCCCATTGCTTGAATCAACTCGTGAAAGTCTTTTTTAAAATAGAGATTGTGTGAATTATTTACGTGTATAAGGATAACAACTCCATCGCCTACTCTGTTACCCTCACGGTTACAGCTTTATACAGTGAATGTCGAGTTCAGACTGAAAATGGCGCCATGTGTGGTATTCGGCTTGCACCAACTTTCTGCTATGACCAAAGCAGAAAATTGATCTCCGGTATTTTGTCTACAGCTGAACGTGCATTGAGCAGAAAAAGTCGATAGGTTGCCTTTGCATTGGATTAGTGATTGACGTTCGACAGTGAAACCCCACTGAGCGTATTGGTTGTTCTTGTATACTGGCGGATACCCACAGGAAACACTGTCGGTTTGGAATCCATTTGACCATGAAGGGGAGGCAATGTTCCCGAGAAGTCGAATTCGATCGGTAGACTAGCGAGGTTGCTAGCGGGAAGGTCGTACAATTACGCTACAATTAGTTCGTGTATGACTGGATCGCGAGCCACGCAGGAAAGCTTACCTTCTTCGTGGTTCATGATTCCCGCTTTCTGTCGAAGGCCAGCTCCTCTTTCGTGAAACCGTTCTTGCATACGAGTGGACAAAGTCCTTTCTCAATGAGAATCGTCCAGCTCGCATGTAGTCCAATAATCTGTCGCTGAGGTGCTGGTTACCTAGACTAATTTTTATTATGCGTTTCCTTCGAAACTGGTTTCATTTTAGGATACCTATGTGCAACAATTCTGCCACTATTGAACTCATTCAAGAGTTTTGACCACCTGGGGAAACTGTCACTTCTTTTAATGCTTCTTTGTCGGTGGCGGCTTCAGTGACCTGTTCACGAATGTCGAGCCAGGTGATCCGGCATGCCTTCCCATCGAAAATTTTTGAGTCCTAAATTTTACCAAAGCGCTATAACGAACGGGTGTGGTGCAGTAGGAACGAAATTGTCGCGTCGCGGCAGGAGGGATTCCGAAGGAAGCAGAATGCAGCAGCAGGTAAGAAATACAGGAACAAAGGAGGAACAGAATGATGCCTAATGGTAGCACACGCTTAAAATAAGGATCGCATATCGATCAAGGTGTATGAAGAACGCTAGAGCTATAATAACGGCGATGAATGGTACGCGACGGCCGCCTGCGGCGAGTCGATTACAGGAAACCGTTCCTACTGCCCGTCCCCCATGAAGAACTGACCTGGAGTTGAGTTTCACCAGAATACAGCTCTGAGACTCTTGATTTTGATAAAAAGCTCAAACACTCTGTCAAACGTTTCAAAATATTCGTCATATCTCTCCAGTATGGGCTGTAGCTAGGAGAAGCGCCAGTATCTGAGCACTTTTTTAGCCGCATGAATACAGAGCAAGAGGAGAGCAGCCAGGCAAGATGAGGTCAACAGATGGAGTGATCTAAGATCGAAACAAGGAAGTTAAAATCGTCTTTCAAACTCTCGCAGGTTCTTTATACAGATCTAAGTCGATACAAAAACTTCATCAATATAGCAAAAACATTCGTTCCCTCTCTAGCGCATTATCTGCCGGTACTGTATTGGTTATCGATACTTTGGGTTATCTGATTCACACTACTTCGAACCACGCCACTCAATATGCAGGTTTCCTACAAATCCGTAAAAGGTAGGCTAATAGAAGGAAGCCGGCTGAAATTTTGAACTTTACTTTCTGCAGGATTATATCCACTACTGTCGCACAAGAGACGTTGAGGGAATGTAGTTGTAAACGCAGCGATCGATGGGGCAAACGATATGGACCAGCCCTGATTTGTACTACTCGATATGGAGCTACTACTCATCATTTACTTTTTTTGAGAAGGAAGGTGATGATAGTCCTGTGGGTGTATGTGGGCGTGTGTGTATGTCTGTGTGAGTGTGCGTGTGGTGTATGAGTGATGTATGTATGTAACGGTGTGTGTCGGTGTATCTTTGACTGAAAATTCCCTTTTCCAGTCTACCTTGAGCGTTCAAGTCGGTTTGGTTCAAGCGGCAGAATGGAAACACTGATAGCTGGTGGCAAACTAGATTTTCCTGAAGGTAAAGAGATCCCAGATCGCAGAGATTCGATAAGTGTACAGGAAGCACGGGAAGGCTGATGGTAGGTGACACGACTGGATGTGAAAGAAGAGAGAATGAACAAAGTTACTCAAACACACATGAGTTGAGGGGGATTCCGCTCATGAGGGGCAAGGCGCTCACGAAGTCTGTGTCTGACTGGGAATTTGTAAATCCTGTTCTCTTCCACCGAACCGTCCAAATTTGGGAGGATGTGGGAAGCAGGCAAACTTCACACGGAAAGGAGCGTTAGTTGGGCGATCCGAATGGTTAAAAATACGCAGCTAAGCTATAATAAATCATCTTACTTGAGCTGGACTCCGCTCATGATTGGCGGGTACGCACGGATTCTTTCGTCCACCTGAACTTAAGGTTTACAAATTTGGAAAAGATAAAGGCAGCCAGCGAGTTTCAACTCAAAAAAGAGGGTGGCTTGGTATGAAACGGGCAATTCGACTAATGGAAATATAAGTGACGGCCTGGGCTCAGATGTTTTGATGATGGTTTTGAGGAGTAAATCGTCATATCGAGGACAACCATTTGGAGGCGATTCTGGTCATAAGGTTATTTGTTGAGGATCACAATGGTACGGGCAATTCTAGGCAAAACCTGGAAGTGTAAGGGTTTTTCTGTTTATGCTGAGTTCTCACAAGTGTTCAGATTGATTTTAGCAGTCTCTGGTGGATGTGCACGAAATAGTGGAGCTGCATGAAGTTTTTTTCGAAGAAGCTCGAATCCGAACTTTTCTAAGTGAGAGACCCAAATTTGCTGCTCATGACAAGTTCCTCTTTCAATACTGGGCAGGGGAAACAGTATTGGGACCGGAAGATTCACATCAACACCACTGGTGACAAAATTTTCAGCGAAAATATGAGAAGCTTCCTCATAAACGGCCGGCCCACACATTAGAGTCGAAAAGGTGAACGTTTTCATGAATAGAAGACAGCTATGCTTAGTCATCAGTGATGTCAAGCAAAAAGATGGTTCAATGGTTGGTTCTTGCCGAAACAGAAAAAGGTTTCTCAAAAAATTTTCTGAAATATTTTAACAAGTGCAGTTGACCAACAATTAGTGGAACACTTTGGGAAACTAAATGGTGGAAAGCTTTCAGAACGGAGTTGTTTACCTGTTGATATCCTACAGATCAAAAAAAAATTTCTAGCTATTTACTCGAAGGCCAGTTTTCATGTTTCAGGGAAGAAAGGATATACAAGCTGCTTGTTTGGTTTGGAACGGTATCTGGCGATGGTTTATACCTGTGAGTCCTAGGTATATTCGTTCTCAGACTAATTAGACAAAAGTTTCGTAGCAAGACTTCTAACTACTTATGCAGTGGCGTAGGAAGTTTTGCCATTAGTGGGTTTTACATATGTGTGAGAGGGTGTGTGAGACAGTACGAATGAACAAGCTAGCTTGTAAAAATGGTGGTAGATCAGCCATTGAATTGCAATGAGTGATTTTTCCTCTTAGGTTCCGGTACTCTGAACATATCGAGAAGGACCTCCATATCATAGGGCATAAATCCATCCTAGAGAATTCACATAGTCTTCTATCGACAGCCTCTGTTTGATATTGCCTCATATGCTGTGGGAACTGTACTAAGTGGCACTAAAGCCAGTATTTATTGGACGAGTGGCTTCAGAAAGCTGCACACTTCTACCATGATCGTTTGTCTTCACCACCATCTATAACAGCACTCTTTTGTTCCTCTCCGTTGAAGCGCGCATTCAAATGCTTATGCGTCCCTCATAGATTTGACAGAGTAGAGCATATTCTTCCGGATATGATTTATAAGTAGATGCCACCTTCCCCTTTGTTCTTCCAAGAGAATGTATCTATTGCAACATCGGCGTGGGATATTTTTGAGCCATTTTACAGCTGAGGAAAACAAATTCGAACTTCTCTGTGGCTTCAGAATTAAATACAAACAGTTAGATAAAAACGTTCAAGCTCAATGTCACCCTCATTTATGGAAAATACCAATTTCAATTTTCTCTTTTTTTTCTCTCAGTCATATTGATTAAAGACATCGATTCTGCTTTCCTCTGTGCCCCCCTCCCCCCTCCCTCACTGCCTTTTTGATTACTGGTTGTTCACTGCATCCCGAAGAGAAGCTGGGAGGGCAATTGGAAAATACTAACAACCACTCTTTGCATTAGAATAAATGAATAAAAGTGGAAGGAATAAAAAGGCCCGTGTGAAAGTTCTATTAAAATTGCAATGATGCCTGATCACCATGTTGGCGAGATACGGACAAAAGTGTTTCTCTGACGGGGTCAGAACCCGTACTTATGCTATCCGGGCTTTGCGCCTTTAACCTTGAAGTACGCGATAGAAAGGTTAGCGGGTTATGAAATCAGTTAACAAAAGCATTAAGTCAAAACGATAACTAACCAGTTAAAGGTTTCTCATGGCCTTATGAACTAAATTCTGCACGGCTCACGAGTTTCGGACCGTAGTCTCCGAAAGTTCGAGCGCCAGTTCTCAGCTCAGCTTTGTAGCAAAACGAATCGCATAGTTAACGTTGTGTATAGCTATTGTTAAACTTGTTTTCAACCACTGAGGCCCATCTATATTGTAGTTTCCGCTATATATATGAACATACTTGTCTGTGTGCTTAAAAGTGGACTTATTGCAGATGTGCTCCTTCACATTCTCAACGACAGGACACCTTCTTGTCCTATTCGCTTCTGTTCCAGTAGTTTGGGCGGAAGTCAGTATCACAAAGCATTTATCATACCGTATGAAATAACTGCAATAAAATTTAGAGGCATAGTACAGAGGCGACAATTTTATGTACATTGGCTTCAATGCAGGGCGAAAGAATATGCAGAACAGCTTTTCGATGATGAAGGAGACGCAAAACCCAGCGGAACTCCAGAAATACCGGCGTTCTTGATCTAATCGGTACTGGTTGGACTAGACTACGATGGCGGAAGTGGTGTTCGGACGAGATTTTAATAGCTGCAGAACAGAGCGTATTAGTTGTTCGTGATTGCATTCACAACTAACAAAATGCTCTTTTCGGATACTATCAACTTTACAGAGCAGCTGTAGACGTCCCTTCTTGCTAGTATTTAGCGACAATTGGCTACCGGAGCGGTTTTCAAACTCTTGCTGCACCCTCCATACATATGTAGGCCTCGCTTCGTACAGACGATGCCATGGGTGGCCTTCTCACGGGGTCACATGATTCTAACAATAGGAAGATTTTGAAACCCTTTTCATATCGAAGTGTTCCTTGGAAAATGATCAAGGCCAATTGTGGGCCCCATTCCAGAAAACCATTCTTTTTGAGGAGTTGTGCAAAAAGATTGAACAGCTAGATTGAATAATGCTGTAAGAAGCCACAAACGGAAAGGGATTTCAGGAAGCATCACTGAGTAAGCCTAAGTTTCTACAAATTAGATTCTACTTAGAAACATTCTAACTGGTCATAAAGAAGCAAACAACGTTTTTCAACACTTACAGCGAGATACATTTAAGATCACAGTGAAATACTTTAGGCAAAACCGGTGGACATCTTCAATAGTCCCGGAGAAGGAGACATACTACAACTTCGGAACCTCAAAAAGAGTGACACGTATGTTTCAGTGGCTGGGAAATCTACGGTCAACTATTTCATCTTCAATTAACAGTGGTCAGCGCATTATAGGAGAGCTTATAATGCTCTGCACAGTTTGTCAAGTGAAAAATGGAATGTTACTGATGAAGATGGGAACATCGTCATACCATATGCAATTACTGGAAAATTCAGTAAGCATTCTGGACGGACGATTCTCACCAGATTTTTGCAAGTGATTCTTGAAAAAACCAATGTACTTGAAGATCTATCCGAAGAAGGCACGATTGCTAACGCTATGCAGCGAGTCATGGATAACACATGCATTCGGTTCATTAAACATACTGATGAGCAGGACTACATAGACTTCGTTAATAAACCTGGTGAAGGGTAAGTGTACAAGCGCCTGAATGGTGTGAAGGCATACTGACAGAAAGTCTACGAAAACGAAATAAAAGGTGAACCGGATATTTCCAGTTGCTACACGAGCGTCGGACGTCAAGGAGGCCGTACAGTTGTGCAACTCGAGTCTAGCGAAGTGGCAACGTAGGTGCATCTCCTCAAAACCAAGCTCTCGAGGCCTATACATGATGAGCGCCCGGAATCTTTTTCAGATATAGGGGGTCCTATTAGTAACGGCGTTTCAGATGCATGAAGACGAACCTCGTGTTACATGAGCTGTTGCACGTTGTCGGTCTATGGCATGAGCACCAGAGACACGATCGTGACAGCTACGTCCAGATTCTTTATGAAAATGTCCTCAAAGGTCAGTCTTTTCAGCAAAAAAAAAATCATAAGAAAAATCTCAAAATATGAACTGGTTCGAGAAATGACAGTTGTGACAGAAATGACAGACTATGAGCTGTGAAACGTGCAGCATGCTCTATGGATTCATAGGATTCATCTGAACTTCAGTATGAAACGCTGTAAATCAAGGTCTCTACTACAAGGATAAGTCTGTTCAGAAAGACTGGGGGTACTGGTCTGGCTATAGCATTTTAACTCCTTATTAGATCTTTGTTGAAAAAAATTTGAACAGTTAGCAATTAGCAACAAACAATTAGCTTACAGTCAACCGTCAACCCTACTAGTAGTCCAGAGAAATGTTCAGATTTTCACGATCAATTTATAAAAATCACTACGTATCAAGCAACAACTTACGATGTACCGTATGATTACAAATCTTTGATGCACTACGGAAAGAATGCCTTCGCAGTACCCTATAAAGTCAGCATGCTGACCAAGGATCCAAACTATCAGGTACTTTATACGTCATTACACGCATTTTATTTCAAAAATTCCATATAGTAGTTTCTGTAACCTGGGCAGCACTTTGTCAGGACTTTTCCTATTTCTTTCTATGGTGAAACATCCTAAAGACTCAGCCTAAACGTCGGAATTGTAATTCTCTCGGATGACTTTCTGTTGTATAACATTTCGTCACATACCAGCTTTTACAACGAAAACATGGCAATAACAACATAAACATATAGTTTGACGATAGATACGGTTAAGGCTATTTGAATTTCAGGATGTGATCGGCCAACAGGAGGACGCCTCACCGAACGACTATCTTAAAGTTTGCAAAATCTATAACTGCAAAAAATGTCATAGCAATTCGTTAGTTCAGGACGATACATTCCTGCTCAGAGAATATGATTAAGTTGCAGACGAAACACGAACAATAAATTTTTGAGGATTATTTCTGATGAGTTTAATTACTGCTTTGATACACATACAACATGCACCATAATTATGGTAACAAAAGAATGGGGCTACAGAAACCGCAGTTCATATCGATACATGGTAAATTCATGTGCTTTATTTACTATACATCACATCTATAAAACGAACACACCCTCATCTTTTGTAACCGTCTCCTGCACTAATTATAGCTTGGAGACGCTTCGGCTACTCATCACGGTGGCACGCCCAATTTCTTGAGAGACTCCAGCCGAGTTTTTTACAATGGTTTTTCAGGAGCAGCAACAGAGGCGTGTTTTGAAGCGCAGGTTTTCCGCTCCAGTATGGACTATATTAAGCGACCCATCACATTGTCGTCTGGGAAATTCGTAGGAGGATTGGAAGCAGGGGGAAATCACGAGCATTTCCTCAGCACCAAACTTGATCTTTTCACATTCATGAGCAAGTGCGTGGCAGTTTTTCTTCGTATCCCGAGGAAAAATTTCGACCTCTAGCTGCATTCTTTCAGAAAACCCTCGTTAAACAGATTCGGATTGAACTTTGCACTTTTCTCTTCCAGAATTTGTTATATCACCGTGATGATAGAGATTCTAGCCATATAGCCAACCATCATGAATGGGGGGTAAAGGGCTACGAGTGGCGATTACTGACTCTTCTCAGCGGCTTCAGCTCTCGTAGTGAGAAATATACATATGCTGTGGGATCCCAACACTTCTTCCATGCTGGGATTCCACAGCATATGTATATTTCTCACTACAAAAAAAANAAAAAAAACTATAACTGTGGATAGACCTTGTTAGACTTTCGCATCGCGTAATACGGCAAAAAAGCAGCGGTTAACTGAAAATCAAGTTAAAAAAAGTTATTGCTGTACACGTTTTTGTATCCCTATTAAGGTTTTTTTAGGACTTGTGGGCGCACTTTGCGAAAAGAAATAAGTTGATCTCAGTAGCATGAGTACTGATAGGATTAGTGTTTCGTACCACGGTGGAGAAACATGCAAGATACGCTGGCTTAGCACGGGCCATTGTACTTCCGTATCGTTGTTTGTTTGGGCATTTGTTGGATACTAGCTTTACCTATAACTCCGTTGCACGTGCAGATTTCATGCGCAGCGCACATGAAGCAGAAGAATTACTATCTAAAACAACGCTGAGCAATGGGCAACACGAGCGCTCGTGATTATTGTAGTAAAGTTAGAAAGATTTATTTCGAGGTAACGCAAATAAAAAAGAAACTAAAATTATTTGGCTAAGTTCGTGGACATTCGCTATTAACGTTCGCCTCTTATTTATTTTATTTATTTGTTACAATTGTCCAGAGTGAGCCGACAACATTAAATAAATGGGAGGGGCAGACGAGGATACAATTGGATAAATAAACTTTTAGATATACATCGCGGCATAATTCAAAGGTCATTAGAATAGTTACTCAAATTTTTACATGGGTTGAATGAAAGAAAGTCAAAAGGAAGTGGCTCACAGGCCGAGAACAAATAGGCAGGGAAAATGAGAATGGAGGGGCATCTAAGAGAGGAGGGGCATTGCAATGCTTACATTGGGAGCCGCTGATCAGGGGCGACAACAGATACCAACCTACATAGTCGGCCCCCATCCCCTCTTAGAGCAGCACTGCGTGTAGGAGGGAATGGGTGAGGGGGGGGGGGAGCTATTCGCGGATCACACAATACATGCATACTTTCATGTTCAACTATGAAAATGAGGTGTTGTAGAGTACGAAAATGAGGCGCTGTAGAGTCAAAAGAATTGTTTATGCGCTACTAGAGGCAAGAGTCGCAAAAGCGCATTTCTCTGAATTAATAAGATGTGAAAGTTAGTGCAAAATTTATTCAAGACTGCCTCTATAACGTTGAATAATTCCAATCTACTCAGTTCACTTACCATAGGAACTGGGTGATCAGCACCATCTCAACGATCGACTCAACGATCTAAGATCCAAAGCAATTCGGCCAGATTTATGCCGAAGCGCACTGGTATTTTGCAGGCGTCAAATTCCTATGAAGAATACAAACGTGATAAACGGCGGTGGAGTCGAATCCTGGAGAAATGTATCGCGCGCATATGCACGAGCAGCGAGCCTTTCCACTGCGCCATCGAACCGTTTGCCTGATTCGCTATTAATAAAGGTCATGCGTCCACTGAGTGGGCATTTTGCAGTCCCATGACGATCTTTACAATCAACTCACTCATTTGGTGTTCACTTGGTGCTTAAGATATTTCGATAGGTGGTCCTGGAAAGTCTTAGTAGTCTCCTAACAGAAAAAGTATGAATCCAATTCCTTCCAGAGTTAAACCACACTAACAGTGAATGCACCCTCGTTAGTGTGTGTGCTAGGCTTGTCAGGTCGCTGGCGATAGGAGTGGTCTCTGGAAATTCCTATGGATGAGGAGATCTCGAATAGGTCACCCAGTCTAAGGTTCATTTTGCCCATAGCCACATTATACATTAAACCAACAACCGTCGAAGTCCAAGCGATTCACTGCAGAGTTTTTTAAGAAGTTGACATACGATGAGATAAAGTTGAAACGCCCTTGCGCATGAAAGAACAGTAGGAAAAGCGTTTTTGCCCTTTCTCAATTTTATTAATCAGCGATAATTTATGTGGTGACAAGATAGGAGAGCAGTACTCAAGGATTGGGCGAACGTAAAGATTGAATAGGTAGAAATGCAATTGAGGTTCGCGCATTTTGAAAGCCTTCAGAATATAATTGACTATGGAGCTAACATTAGTTACTGTCTCACGTAAAAACTCTTCGAAGTCAAGTTTATCTGTACAGACAAGTGCGAGGTCTCTAACTAGAGATGAAGGAGTGAGCTCGCCCCCGCCCATTGAAAAAGCGAAGTACGGGTGATTCTTACCCAGTCCTATGATAGCTGTTTTTTGAAGGGAAATGATCAAATTAGACTTTATGAATTTTATTTTATTTCACGAAAGATAATAATGCAAGATGTTTCTGAGATAAACTTTTCAAGTGGAACAACTCTCTTAGAAATTTCGAGAGAACCAGCAGACACGCTGGCCGTGAGGAACCTGGCTCTAATATTGATGTAGATCTGGGAACTGATAACTTGAATTTATCTTCTTTAGGATGGAACATGGAACTTGAAGAATTTGTGATATTCTCAGAAAGATTCCGAATACAGTGGATAGATTCATTACTTCGCGTCTGCATAATAGCGAAGCCAACCCAAACCTTCTATTCCCGACACTGCTCTTGGTACTTCATCAAGGTGTTAGAGATGCACGTGAGGAATATTATTCGTGAAATTGTTCTGCACAGAGCAGAATTCTAATGATCTTTTCTGAATGCACGGAGAAAGCTGTTGTCTCGCACTCTTAAACTGGGCCAACGCAAGTTTCATACCCACTGAGCAGTATACACGGATCGTTGGTGAAGAGACATCGTATGGTTAGAAGTTGATGAAGTCGTGTTCATGCCTAATTTGCCTTATTATAGAGAAGCGAATCAAATTTCAATTTATCATTGATTAGCAATCCTAGTATCTAACTTCTTCAACTCCAGCGATTACAGAAAAAGGGCCATAGTGCCGGCGGCGATGAGAAAAAAGTTCTTCTCGTATGCCAAAGGAAGCTACCGTATCTGACCACGCACTTAGTACTTCAATTGCCTTTTGAATTACATTAGCATCACGAATGGATGAGACTGCTTTGTGAACTTTTATGTCATCCGACAACACCTTACCAACTATATCTAAATTCCCAATCTGGAAAACTCATGTGTGTCGAAGTTAAACAAAATAGCTGTTAAGACTGGTAGATGAGGAACACCGCTGGGGACCGCTCCAACCTAGAAGGAGCTCTTCTCAATGCGAAGTTGAATCGAGCGCTATCTCCAAAATCAGTTCTTCTTTGCTTACCGATATGCTTAAGCTTCATGTGTAATTTTATACGAGAAACATAAGAAGTGACTCGGAGTGGAGAGACGATGCGTTTCACTCGTTTTCTCTGCGTTTTGCTGAATAGGATTCTTGCCCTGAAGAGGATAAAGAGTAAAGAGTAGTATGTGCTAGTCAAGCTTCATTGCTTGATGCTAATAGTAAGGCATAGTCTTTTATCAGTACCTACTATCCTTGTAGTTGGGGGGGGGGGGGGGGGGTAGCGCCATTTTGAATCACTGACGGCTAGAGCGTAGAATAGGAGAGGTAGCCGAACTTATTGTTCTTACAGATGCTTTTTAGCCAAAAAATATTTTTTACCTGACTTCAGGAAAGGGAGGAGTTCCGGGATGGGTAGGACGATGAGATGAAATCTCGTGCAAAAAGCTGAGATAAGATAAGAATTGAACATCCATTTGGCTCACCCATCTCAGAACCTCTCCATTCTTGAAGGGAAGGTAAAAAAAATACCCAGTTATACCATAAAAAAGCCATGAAATGTCCCTAAAGACCATTAAGGGCTCTACTCTTTCTCTTCTGCGCTCTAACCGTCAGTGGTTCAAAAACGCGCCGGCCTCACAACTACATTTTCACACCTATTTTATTATCTTTCAAAGTTTCAGTAGTTAGATGGCTTTCGAGTCTAATACCGCTAAAATGTCCACTGTGACGAGAGAGAGCGACCGAGAGTATAAAATTGACAACGCGCGGGCGTGCCCTATTCCGCTGGTCGATACAGACGTAGACCGTCTCTTCGTCTGATTTCTCTCAGCAAAAGAAATTTTGGTTGATAAATGCTCTGAAACCTACATCGAATTCAATGCTTTCATCTTATCTATTTTTCACATGTATATATGGGCTCACACACCGCATTCTAGTGTTGTCATCTCTCACTTACTTGAATTTTTTAGGATGCGGCCGAGTGCTTCAGCTTCTGTGCAAGTACCATATCTCAGCACTAGCTTTTGTGCGAAATTGATTTGTGGAAATTCTCAAACAATCTACATGTTATCATGAATACATTGTATATTACAGCACTCA